CAGCGGAATATTTTTTTCCTTAATTTAATTTCTTCTTTTTGATTTTATTGTTGTTTTAGAAAAAAAAAAATGTAATTTATCTTGATTTTTAGGAACTTATTTAATGTATTTAATTTAATTTACTGTTTTTTTAATTTTTAGATTTTATTGTTTTAGACATAAAAAAATTACACTTGATTTTTAGGAACTTGTTTCTTTTATTATGTATATTTTTTAATAAATTTTTGTTTTCTTTTTAATTAAATTTTCTTTTAATGTTTAGATTATATTGTTTTAAAAAATATATGTATATAATTTTTAATTTCATTCTGTTTTTAGAAACTTGTTTTATTTATTTTTTCTTATTTTTAATTATTGTTTTTCTTTTTGAATTAAATTTTCCTTTAATTTTTATTTTAAGAAGAAAAAAATTTATAAATTTTTTTAATTAAAATAATTTGGGAAAACTTATTGCTAAAAGACAAACAGAAGAATGCTAAGACCTCTTCGTCAAATCTTTCAATTAGAATTGACAATTTTCTTACGAAAGACTTTTGCCTTTCAAAAGACTGTGGTGAGTTGAAAGGCAATTATCAGAATTGCCCTGATAATATGACTCTCCATCTCTTCACCCAGGTGTCAATGGCCATAGCCGACTTGCTTTCCTTCTGGACAGCATAGCCGCTACTAATTTTTAGAGTCTTCATTGACTTCGCTCTCCACTTCGTGCCCCAGTCCAAGTATATACATACATACATGCATATGTACAAATGCTTTGTGCTTTTGTTGTGTTGACTCCTTTGTTTAACTTATTCCTTCAGTGGATTTTCTTGTTCCCATTGCTGATGTTTCTAATGTAGTTGTTGTTGTTGTTTTTGTTGTCACGTTTTGAACTCCGAGCTGGGTTTGGCATTTATACGCTGCAGCATTCGCATTTGAATTGTCAATGGTGTTGTTATTTGTGTTTTTTTTATTCATATTGCAGTTGTTGCACTTTGTCGTTGTTGTACTTTGTCGTTGTTGTAGTACTTCTTGTTTGTTTGTTTATTTGTTTGCCTGTTTGCTTGTTGCCTTTTGCGTAAAAATTACCATTGTAAGCGCACGTTTTAGCAGCTCACTCACAATTGCATTGGAATTGTTAAGGATTTGTTAGGCATCCTGCATACTTTGCGTACAAACACAATTGGACACGTACACACACGCGAACATTTATCATAGGATTCTAAGCATACTTTTGCCGCATACTTCTATCACACTTGTTTGCATTCTTCCATGGAGCACAATGCCTTTTGAATGCGAAGGTGGCTGGCTGGGCTGCAGTCACTCAACAAAGGCAAATTGTTGCAGTGGCAAACGAAGCGGCAGCAAAATAAAAAAAAAAAAATTAGAAAAAAGTCGCACAAAAAAACGTTGTTGTTTTTTGCTTGCAATGCCAGCTGCTACCGTTGCCTCCATAAACAACAACACATTTTCCGCGCCGTATACGGGAGCAATAGTAACAGCTTTCAAATTTGAATTTGCACACATCGCAATAAAAAGAAGGAGAAATTGGGAGTTGAAAAATGCAATAAGTAAAGGCAAAGAAGTGCAGAATAAAAATGTTCTTGGGCCCGCAACAAACTGGCTGCATTGTAGTGTTGAATAAAAGATAGGCGAAAGCAGTCAGTGACGCTTGGAAGAAAAAAACAAATCAGTGAAGAAACTTGCAAAATTGCATTTGCCGTCAACCTTTCACTCACCGCCTACTCTCCGCCAGCATTAGCACTCATCTCACTCCCACTGTCTTCCACTCGCTTCACACAGCATGGCTAGGCTTTCGAGTAATGCGCCAATCAAGCTGCCTACGGCGCAGTCAGACAATTCCTTTTTTTTTACTTAATTTTTCTGCATAGTTTTGTTTTTTTTTTTTCTTTGCTCGCTTGCTGTTCTCGCTTTTTTCTTTTTATTACATTGAAACTTGTCTTGCTTTCCAATTTGTATGCAGCTTCTTGTAGGCGGCTGGTGGAATGCTCCGACGCGTCGAGGCTTTAGTGAAATCTGTGTTTTTTACGAGTTCCTCTTCAAGATTCATACTCATACAAATTGCACGTAATGCAACCAAAATTGCGAAATGATCCAGGTGTCATGGAGTGCCTCCTTAAAAATTTCTGCCTTAAAAAATTCCACAAAGAGTGAATGAGAAAATTAAATGTTATTGAGTTATTATGATTTGTTGGTTTGCTTGCACGAAATTTTTCACTCAGTTCAAAAAAAAAAAAAAAAGAATTAAGCAGATTGAAAAAGAGTTCCAGGCAGAACTTTTGTTGCAGAATTGAAAAGGAATGGTGGATGGATAAAAGACAGTAAGGAATCGCTGGAGGCAGGGCGGAATTTTTTCAACATATATCGTGTATATAAATTTAAAAATCGTCGCAATTTAAAATAATCATGAATACTAGATTTCTAAAATTTTTTTTTCAAAATTTTGAGAATTGTTGGAATTCTAACAAATTTTTTCTAAGTAAAAGTGCCGAATATACAAATTTAATTAATCGAATTTAAAAATTTTCGAATGTTAAAAACATTTTCATATTTCGTCGTTTTTGAAAATTTAAAAATTTTCGTAATTCTTGAAGATTCAAAAACATTTTTGGACGTTGATGTTTTCAAAATTTTCAAAAAAATTTAAGTTCTCAAACTCTTCTATATCAATACAAAATTTTGAAAAAGTTCAGAAAAGTGGAAAAATTTTGGAATTTTTCAAAAATGTTAATATATTTTAGAATCCTAAGAATTTTCTATTTTTTATACACGAGTACCATGAACATAAGAATTTGTCGACAATTTGTGATGTTTCACAATTTTGCATTTTAGGACGGATTTTAAGGTACTGGCCCAATGCAGACTTTCTTTGTTTGCTTCGCTTTAAGAACTGTCAAAAGTCATTTGGAATATACTAAAACGTATGAAGGGTGGCCAAATGGTAGCTTTGCTTCACTTTCTTTAAGCGCCTCAAAGCTTTTGACAAAGGGGTATGTTCCCGTTCTAAATAAATTCAAACTCACTGCTGCACACTTTTATGTACAAATTTTATGTAATTAAAAAAGAATATATGTATAATAAAAGTTTAATAAAAATGATTCTATGTTTCCATATCTATATTTAATATATCGCTGGCTTAAAGTGAAAAGTTGCTAAGTCCATTTTTAAAAATTTTACAGGAACTTTGAGTACAACATTTTGCGTGTTTAAAGCAAAGCAAAACTCCATACGAATCAGAAGGATTCGATCTTCGTTAAAAGATTTCGTATTATTTTGGCCTTATCGGATACTCGAGGCCTCTTTGAACTTAGAAAATTTGTCTTTCATTGAATATAAACGAGAAAAAATAAAACAAGTACCTTAATCCTAAATTTCTCTTGCTTTCTATATCAGAATATGAGGTTTCATAAAATGTAGACTTGGCAACTTTTCACACAAAGCTAGCGATATTTATGATGTCAAACTACTGGTCAGTCGTCTCTTGAAAAATCGCCTTTTTTTTGGTTTGTTGTTTTTAATAAATATGTAGATATGTATAATTATTATCATATTTTCCCACAGCGCCACAATACAATAACCACCCGTCCAAGAATAACTTACACGTAGTCAAAGATACTATGCTTCCAACTCTTCAGGTATAATAGTGAGCAAGGCCACAGCCCCGATTTCCGCTTGGCTATCAGAGTGGGTATATATCTATGAAGAGTCCCCTGTAAAATACTCCTCCTTTCCGACAATCTTGGAGCCATCTGTATAAAAGTTCAAGAATGCTTGCGTGGCTGAACCCGGCTTGAAGGTTCCAATCCACGAGTTGTCGATGTATGCTTTTTATTGCGCCTGAGGAGTGTCTCTTCTCGTCGAACCTCAACCATTTTTACCATAAATATTTCACAAATTTGGAGGTATTTTTAAGGACCAAATTTTATAAAATATTTGTATGTACATTAGGGTGCATCCCCTAAATAAGTTTCAGTTTTATGCTAGACCAATTTGAAATCAACTCGAAAATTCTAATTTTTTTCATAGTGTTGATACATTTTTTAACATTTTTATGCAGACTATTTAAGCTTAAACTCTTCTATCATCAGAGGTGATCTTTTAGAAAAAATATATTTAAAAACTTATTTTATTTAAAAAAAAACTCGATTTTTAGAGGTTTTTCAACTGTGTTCAGTTCACATCTTAATTCATTCATAAAAAATAAAGTAGCTTTAGTTAAAAAATTTATGAAAACGCCAATTTAGAAAGCTTTTTAAACCTACTTATTTGTATGAATAAAGCCATTAAAACATAATAAATTTTATATTTCCGGTGGGAAAACAGCATCGTTTTATTTATTTTTTATTTTGTATGGAGTGATACACCCTAATGTCTAGTACATTAGCGCACACAAGGGGTGGGTTTTGGGGTTCAAACCCCCCCCCCCCCCCCCCCCCCCCCCCCCCCCCCCCCCCCCCCCCCCCCCCCCC